TGCAGGGGGGTCTCCCCAGAGCGGGGCAGAGGGGCAGGATCCCCTCCCTGCCCTGCTGCCCACACTGCTGGGGATGCAGCCCAGGCCGCCGGGGGCTCCTGGCCAGCTCCTCACACCCAGGGCCTTCCCCCAAGGGCTGCTCTCAAGCCTCAGACTCAGGAGATTTAAAGAGCTCTAACAGAGAAAGAAAACGGGCGACACAGACACCTCTTGGCTTCCTGCACACTCAGAGCATTGCCCTGAACCCAAGAGGCTGAGGGTCCTTAACTCAACAGCCACACAAGGAAGACTGAAACAACAGTGGAAAGCTCCACACAGCCCTGCCCAGCAAAGAGCAACTCTTCAGCTCCCAGGGGCTGATTTCAATCCTCCTTCCTCTGAGCTAAACAACACAGCTTGTCAGTGAGCTGAGTGATGAGGAAATGGAAAGACCAGATTAACAGCTCACAAACATTTAAAGAAATAAATACCAAAGAGTGTGGGTCTATATATTATTTTTATAGCTAAACAAGGAGCTGCACACAGGAATGTGATGAAATTAAGGCTGATCCTGAAGAGCAGCTTCTTGAGAGATTTATCATCCTGTGGAATAGTCTGAGTAGAAGTGATGGATGCCTTATGACAGAGATCACTTGAAATTATGCCTGGCAGAAGAGAAACCTTGAAAATAGGTCTAAGGTAGCACAGAGACTGCAAAGATATCCAACAGTATTCACCTTTCTAACTCGATTCCCTTAAATCCGTTGTTGTTTCTCATGTGCTTGCTACACCAAACAAGGAAACAGCTTCAGCTCTGCTGCTGGAGTCCACCTTCATCTTCTCCTCAACCTACCTGCTGTTTCACCTTTTTTCACCAGAGCCTAACTGGTGGTTTCAATTATTTGTCCCTAACGATCCACGAATTGCTCTCCTGATCAGCTCGTTGGACGACTGTTCCATTTAGCGCATGCTCCCTAGCTCGATCCAAATTTATTTTCCAGTTATCTATATTGAACGGCATTTGTCACCTCAATTATCCAAATTCTTTGGAACCCAGCCTTGCTGTTCCTCATTATAAGCCTGAATCTCACAACATTCTGGGCACCCAGCTCCTCTCAAAGCCAAGAGCCACCGAGGAGACACAGAGTCGCGGCGGATATGGCTCAACTCTTCTGCCTCCAGTTTCTCCATGAGCTTGTGGGTTTTTGTTTGGTTTCGTTTTTGTTTTTGTTTTTTTTTTTTTTTTTTTTTTTTTTTTTTTTTGTTTGTTTGTTTGTTTTTTGTTTTTTTTTGGTTTTTTTTTGTTTTGTTTTTTGTTTGTTTGTTTGTTTTTGGTTTTTTTTCCGTTGAAAGTCTTGCTTTCAACGCTGCCATCCAAACCATTTCCATAAACAGCCAGAATAAAGAAAGACACTAAAAATGACCCCATGAGTGAGGAGATCACTTTGCAAGTGTTTACTCATCAAATAAACTGGTTGTGACCAGCCCTAGAGCCCTGGAAGGCGTGGAATCTTCCACAGGAGATCTGAGAACCTCCTTCCCACACGTCAGTGTGACTGGCAGCACACTTGGTGAGGAGCCGGCCAGATCTGAGCTCAGCTAAAACAAAGACTGAATGACTGAGGCATCTCAACTGTACGCCCAAGGGCTCGCAGCACAAGGCAAACACAAAGCACAAGCTGTGGCCATTTGCACGGTCTTTAGTCCTCTAGAATGTTCCCTCAGTTGTTGACCAACAGCCTTGGACAGGAATATTGTTGAAACCAGGCCCCTGACCTACAAGCCTGGTTGTTTATGTATTTTTTACCTTCCTCATCACTGCTGTCAGACTCGAGTTGTTTGATTCGCTTCCTCTTCTTCTTTTGGCTTTCAGGATCTCGTTCCTCCTCGTTATCTGACTTGTCCATCCTCTTCATTTTACTGAAAAGAGGAATGAATACACGCTAACCCTCGTGTGTGCACACAAGAGTCAGGCACGTTTGGCCAGGAAATCAAATAACTCTTAAAAACATGAACATCACACACACCTGTCACATACACTGAAGTATACTCTTGGGGTGCATAAAGAAGAGTGTGGCCAGCATGTCAAGGGGGATTCTCCCGCCCCCCCTGCACTTCCCAAGTGAGGCCACCTCAGGAGTCCTGGGTTCAGGACTGGTCTCACAAGTTCCAGAGAGACCAGGAGAGAGTCCAGTGGAGGCTGCGAATCTGCTGAGGGGCCTGGAGCATCTCTGTGCCAGGACAGGCTGAGAGCCCTGGGGCTGCTGAGCTGCAGAAGAGAAGCCTCAGAGGGGATCTGATCAAGGCTGAGCAAGAACTAAAGGGCCCTGGGCAGCAAGAGGCTGGGGCCAGACTCTTGTCAGTGGTGCCCAGTGACAGGACAAGGGGCAATGGGCACCAGCTGGAACCCAGGAGGTTCCACCTGAGCAGGAGGAGAAACTTCTTTGGTGTGAGGGTGGCCGAGCCTGGAGCAGGCTGCCCAGAGAGGCTGTGGAGTCTCCTGCTCTGGAGAGATTCCAAACCCACCTGGATGTGATCCTGGGCACACTGCTGTGGGTGGCCTGCTGGAGCAGGGGGGTTGGAGGAGATGATCTCCAGAGGTTCATTCCAGCCCCACCATGCTGGGATTCTGGGATACTCACCTATACATCCATCTATAGGTACATGAGCATTTTCAAGTCCCATCCTTACCCAAATGCAGTTCTCCAAAACAAGGAGGATTTCTTTAGCCCCTCTGCAGTTCAGCGCTTTCCCCAGTACCTCACCTAGCTTGGCCAGAGTGACCTGGCAAGAGGGCACTTCTGATCTTCTCTCTATACCTCAGGCTCCCAAACACTAACGTCCCCAACAGCATCACTCAGAAGCTCTTTTGACAGACTGCTTGCCACTGACTGACTATGAGGTAGTGTCTCAGAATCCTGGAGCCATTTTTAAAGACTACTGGAAAAATAAAATAGCTTCTTTCTTTCTCATGTTGGCGAGACACTTCAGACTAACAAGCCTGGAGGCTAAAGGCCCACGTATCCTCAAGGAGCTGGTACAGCCTGAGTGGCCTTCCCAAGCCCACACTGCCAACAAGCAGTTGGCTTTTTGACTAAGACCATCAATAAGAAGACCAGTTGGGACCTGCTGCGATGGTGGGCTGGGTGGTGCACTCACCTATTTAGTTAGAAATGGGTTGAGACCACCAATTAATTACTCATAGGCCACCAGAGAGCCATCAGCCTGTGATGATTTTTTTTTGTCTCTGTCCGTTTGGGTTGGATTAAACACAAAGGGCTGAACTTAAAATGTGCTCGGAGCATCAGCCCAAAGTAAACCAGGGGCACTGAAAGCAGCACTGCATTAGGTATGGGGATCAACAAGCAGAACTCTGTGTGCTGGAAGCTGTGTACATATAAGCTTGGGAAGATCCCACCCTCCCTGGAGGACAGGTGCTCCTGCCAGCCTCCCCCCAGACTGCCTGCAGGGTCTACACCAAGTCTGCTCCCCGAGGGAGGCTGGCTCATGGAAAGTCAACCCCCCTCCCACCTGAGGACACCCATGGATCAGGGCTCTTCCCAGTCCCAATGGCACAAATGGTCCCGAGGCACCTACAGCACTCAATGGAAAAGAAATATTATCAAAGAATTTTAGGAGAGAAAAATTTTAGCCAGGTTTAATGCAAGTTAAGCAGGAGGTGAGCCAGCACTGTATGACCAGACAGCTCCACACAGGCCACCAACAAGCAGGTCAACAGATTACAAGGACCCTGAACAGCATCACCCACCTTTTCTTGTCCTTCTGTTGAATTCTAACAGACTCTGCTTTCTTCCCAGGTTTCTCTGCGACACTGTTAGAGGATGACTCTGGTTCTGCTACAGGAACCGAGGGCTTGACTACTTCTTTCTCCTCCTTTGGCTGCTCAGGCACCGAGTTGACTTTAAGTTTATCTGTGAATAAACCATGAAAAAAGAACCAAGGCTGGGCACTCAGGGAGAACAACTTACAAAGGAGCTGGCTAACCAAAACACCAGGCACCAGAGCACAGCACAGACGACGGATGATGTGGGAAAGCATCAAGTGATCTGCACTGACCAAGCTCTGTCCTACATGGAATTTTGAGCTGATTTACCCATTTGGTTCTGCTCCTGATGGCACAGCCCAAGCTCACTGCGAGCTGAGTGTGCTGCAGCAGTCAAACTCCACAGGAAAGGGACACAAGGCAGCAGCAGAAGCTCCTACAGCCACCAGGACCTGAAGGATTGGATGTCCCTCTTGTGTCCATCTTTATACAGTGGAGCCCTTCTACATGCGTTTTGATCAAGCACCAAAGTGCTGAGAAACAGGAGAACTAGGATGGGTGAAGAGTGAGGAAAGGTGGGTGCAGCCTTCATCCTGCGTAACCAGGACTGAGAAGTGGAACCCTGTGAACCTCCTGAGGTTCAACGAGGCCAAGTGTCAGGTCCTGCACCTGGGTGGGGGCAACCCCCAGTCCCAGCCCAGGCTGGGGGTGAAGGGCTGGAGAGCAGCCCTGGGGGTGCTGGGTGTGAGGAGCTGGCCAAGAGCCCCGAGCA